GTTTAAGGCGCATCCAAATAAAATGTATTATAATAATCAGAGATGCACACATCCTTTACTCAAGTAAAAGTAAAGAAGTATGGGCTTTGAAATGTACTTCAGTAAAAAGTACCCATAACTAGCAGCTGTTTTAAAGAGTACCTGACCTCCCTTTATATTAATAGAACAATAATGTCATTGTTAGCTAATGAATGTTTCCATGCTGAACAACGGCAACATGACAACGTTTACATTGGTCCCTCTTCTTTAGAGAAGACCAGGAAATGATGGATACACGGATCGTGTTCAAATCAATAGGCACGCAATGACTCTAAAGAATAATGATCACGCATCAAACACACATTCAGACTAAAGGAACCAGCTGTTTGGGAAATGAGAGAAGTAGAAAGTACAGGTATTTGAGTTCAACATGTAAGAAGTAGAAAGTACAGGTATTTCAGTTCAACATGTAAGAAGTAGAAAGTACAGGTATTTGGGTTCAACATGTAAGAAGTAGAAAGTACAGGTATTTGAGTTCAACATGTGAGAAGTAGAAAGTACAGGTATTTGGGTTCAACATGTAAGAAGTAGAAAGTACAGGTATTTTAGTTCAACATGTGAGAAGTAGAAAGTACAGGTATTTGTGTTCAACATGTAAGAAGTAGAAAGTACAGGTATTTGAGTTCAACATGTAAGAAGTAGAAAGTACAGGTATTTGTGTTCAACATGTAAGAAGTAGAAAGTACAGGTATTTGAGTTCAACATGTGAGAAGTAGAAAGTACAGGTATTTGGGTTCAACATGTAAGAAGTAGAAAGTACAGGTATTTGTGTTCAACATGTAAGAAGTAGAAAGTACAGGTATTTGTGTTCAACATGTAAGAAGTAGAAAGTACAGGTATTTGAGTTCAACATGTAAGAAGTAGAAAGTACAGGTATTTGTGTTCAACATGTAAGAAGTAGAAAGTACAGGTATTTGAGTTCAACATGTGAGAAGTAGAAAGTACAGGTATTTGTGTTCAACATGTAAGAAGTAGAAAGTACAGGTATTTGAGTTCAACATGTAAGAAGTAGAAAGTACAGGTATTTGTGTTCAACATGTAAGAAGTAGAAAGTACAGGTATTTGAGTTCAACATGTGAGAAGTAGAAAGTACAGGTATTTGAGTTCAACATGTAAGAAGTAGAAAGTACAGGTATTTGGGTTCAACATGTAAGAAGTAGAAAGTACAGGTATTTGTGTTCAACATGTAAGAAGTAGAAAGTACAGGTATTTGAGTTCAACATGTGAGAAGTAGAAAGTACAGGTATTTGGGTTCAACATGTAAGAAGTAGAAAGTACAGGTATTTGTGTTCAACATGTAAGAAGTAGAAAGTACAGGTATTTGAGTTCAACATGTGAGAAGTAGAAAGTACAGGTATTTGTGTTCAACATGTAAGAAGTAGAAAGTACAGGTATTTGAGTTCAACATGTAAGAAGTAGAAAGTACAGGTATTTGTGTTCAACATGTGAGAAGTAGAAAGTACAGGTATTTGAGTTCAACATGTAAGAAGTAGAAAGTACAGGTATTTGAGTTCAACATGTAAGAAGTAGAAAGTACAGATATTTGTGTTCAACATGTAAGAAGTAGAAAGTACAGGTATTTGAGTTCAACATGTGAGAAGTAGAAAGTACAGGTATTTGGGTTCAACATGTAAGAAGTAGAAAGTACAGGTATTTGTGTTCAACATGTAAGAAGTAGAAAGTACAGGTATTTGAGTTCAACATGTGAGAAGTAGAAAGTACAGGTATTTGGGTTCAACATGTAAGAAGTAGAAAGTACAGGTATTTGAGTTCAACATGTAAGAAGTAGAAAGTACAGGTATTTGTGTTCAACATGTAAGAAGTAGAAAGTACAGGTATTTGAGTTCAACATGTGAGAAGTAGAAAGTACAGGTATTTGGGTTCAACATGTAAGAAGTAGAAAGTACAGGTATTTGTGTTCAACATGTAAGAAGTAGAAAGTACAGGTATTAGTGTTCAACATGTAAGAAGTAGAAAGTACAGGTATTTGAGTTCAACATGTAAGAAGTAGAAAGTACAGGTATTTGTGTTCAACATGTAAGAAGTAGAAAGTACAGGTATTTGTGTTCAACATGTAAGAAGTAGAAAGTACAGGTATTTGTGTTCAACATGTAAGAAGTAGAAAGTACAGGTATTTGAGTTCAACATGTGAGAAGTAGAAAGTACAGGTATTTGAGTTCAACATGTGAGAAGTAGAAGTACAGGTATTTGGGTTCAACATGTGAGAAGTAGAAAGTACAGATATTTGGGTTCAACATGTGAGAAGTAGAAAGTACAGGTATTTGAGTTCAACATGTAATAAGTAGAAAGTTCAGGTATTTGTGTTCAACATGTAAGAAGTAAAAGTTAAAAGTCGTCGTAAGTAGCGGAGTAAATTACTTTTACCAAAAAAATGTACTTAAGTACAGTAACGAAGTATTTGTGCTCCACTACTTCCCACCTCTGATTATAATTCATATTTGTTATCAAGGTAGGATTTGCCAGCATTGTGCAATTACATAAAACATTTGAATACAGGGCAGACATGTTGTAAACATATAATGCTGTCTCCTTTACTGCTAATATATGGTGATAATACTCAATATTTTCCTCACATAATGTTCTCTATCTTATCTGAGGGTTCACTACAAGTAACATTAGCATTAATCAAGATTCAACCTACTAAATCATCCCATATGTCTATCTCAGAGCCTTTATATTAACAGTCCTGTGAAAATGTTAGGAATATTAAATCAACTATGAAATGATTAATCAAAACCTATTGGCTAGTTTAAGCTAGTGGAACAAAAGCTAATAAGAAGCAGGACTTTGGCTGCCTCATAACCTTATCTATTTATCGCACATGACCTACACATGAGCCACATGTGTGCCTTTTATAGCAGTTTAATGTGATGTGATAGGGCTGTTAATAGAGCTTTAACAGGAGATGCTTTTTGGAAAACCTCGAGGTGCAGGGGAAAGTTTCATACCACGCTAGGTGGCTCGGCAGTAACAGCATGGAAAGCACGTTCCTTTTCCAATCTGCCACCTGTCTATTTAGTCATCTCGCCAGTTTTATTGTCGGCTTCTTAATTTAGACGATGGCATTTGTATTGGACGGGCTTTTCCCTTGGACTAAACTCTATAAATGACCCTTGACGAATAACATTATAAGCCTGCAAATAAACCTATTCAATCCCTGCATCTGGAAAGTCAAGTGTTGATACTATTTTTAATAGTATATACCGTGTCAGAAATTACATGATGACCATGTACACATATCAACAAGCCAATCCTATGTAGCTGTAAAGAAAATGCAAAGGACACAAGTTTATCTGAGTGCTGTTCAAAGTTGTATAAAAAAAGAACGTTTTTTTTCCAGCATCTTTAGAGCAGATGATCTTATGGCACATTTCCACTGCAGGGCCTCGCTCGGCTTAGTACGGTATAGTTATGCCTTGGTAGGCCAGGCTCACTTTATGCTGTGTTTCCATTACAGTTTAGTAGCTGGGGCAGTAACTATAGTAACGCAGTGTAGGCGGAGCCGTGACGTCATCTTCAATGAGAACCACAAAACCAATCAGCCGTTAGCTCTTAGCACTCAGAGCTCACAGCTCCTCATATCTGTTCAGAAACTAGACAAAAGTTAAACAAGTACAAACCACAGACTGTCTGTGTCATGGCGAATACAGTCGCTGCTTTATTTATGCCTGATCGATCCGATCTCCATTCAGAAAACACGCATTTTAAAAGGTTTTTCGCCTGCTGTCTGTCTGCAGACTTGGCAAAGCATTAATTCATGGTTTTTACTAACCGGTATCAGTATGTTGTTACTTCGGCATCATTTTGAAACGTGTATTACAATTAAATCACGGTCAAATATGTTCATCTTGTTGTAGTTGTAGCCCCCTTGCCAGCGATTCTCTCTGACCAATCAGCAGTCGAGAGTATTTACATCACTAGTTTAGCATATTCAGCCCGGTTGTCGGCCCGGCAAGAACCTCGATTTTGGAGGGCCAGAAAAAAGGTGAAAAAGTAGCCCTGAGCCGGAACTAGCCCTAGTGGAAAAGCAAAAAAAAGCGGGCCGGGTTTGGCACGGCACACTTAAACCGTGCGAGGCCCTGCAGTGGAAAAGCGCTATTAGAGTCCTGGAAGAGGCTATAGAACATAGGGAGGCGTGTGGCGCAGTGGTTAGTGCGTTGGTGTTCGGATCAGGGGAGCACAGGTTCAAACCCCACTGCAGTCAGCATGTCGTTGTGTCCCTGAGACACTTCACCCCAAATTGCTCCTGTGGGGATTGCCCACAGTGTTGAGTATGTAAGTCGCTTTGGATAAAAGCGTCTAACAAGTAACATGTAATGTAACATGATAGGATAGGGGATATAGATAGGTGGTAGGAAGACAACATTTTCTTCCAAACATTATAACACTGACCAACTCTGTCAATGCACTTTTTACAAGCGTACAAGTTCTAGAAGTAGCATTGGGTTCAGCAGCAGATACATGGGTGTCATCAGCATAGCAGTAAACCAATTACATTATTCTTACACCACTACCTATCGACTAATTAGTTAATTAATGCATATGTTTGTAGGCCGACCAAGACGTTAGCATCACAAGGGGTCCTTCAACAAAAAGCAATGAGATTGCCCCCATTGGATTTTGGAATATTGCAGAAAAAAAGCTTTGTGGAACAACAATTGTTTACACAAACACAATTCTAACATTAGTCTATAAACAAACTACATCACGGTCAAACGTATGTGCATCATCACCGCTATGCAAATGGTGACTCGTGTCAGCGTGATGAGGTTTAGTAATTAATTTAGTCGCTTAGTCGTAGAACAAAACGTGAAAATCTCATCCAGACACTCTCAATGCCCAACTATCCAACTGTCTTCCTCCTGATGCTTTAAGTGGCACTGCCAAGGTGAGTTTTATGAAAGATCACTAACATTGCTTCTGTTGGTGTTATCTTATAGCTGGGAGATAATTGACTCAGGTCAGGACGGCCGGTCTGGGACTGGACCTCAGCTCAGCACCTCCCTCAAACTCTTCCTCCAGGAGACATCTGCTTTCAAACAGCAAAACCCTGGCAAGGTAAGGTAGTGTTTCAGACTAAGGCAGAGTCTGAAAGACCCCAGACTAAACTCTATTCTGAGATACCAAAGTAGAGCAGAGAGCCATGTCGTTGTCATACTTTATGAGTTTTGTCAGGCGGTAAGACTGCAAACGGTAATGGGAAGAGTCAAATGATGTAACACTTTATCACAACAACAACAAATCAGAAAATCGGTTTTAATTTTTTTATTTCATCAAATGACTGTTTTGCTATATTCTAAAATTCTTCAAATACTTTTTTATAACAATTGATCACCTGTAAGAGCTTATCAGATAATGAACTAACTGATTATACTAAATTATTTGTGTAAGCTTCGAAACAAACAATATCTTTCATATATAAGGAATCTAAATTCATGGTGTTTCCAAAATGTTTGACCTTTCCAAAGAATGTCACTGATACTGTATACTAACTTACTGACGGTAGATACATGTGCTTTGGTGTCATTGTCGTTGTGTTTGCTTCCAATCTCTTCTAGTTTTGCCTGCTGGTTTGCAGTTTGTGCACCTTCGTCGCTGCCGTAGGACGCTACATTCCAGGAATTGTTATTTCTTATATTCTAGGTGAGTACACTTCAGTTTTGCACGTGATTAGACCATTTCTATAATGCTAGAAATGTAAATGAGTTATTTGGCCACCCTCTGAACTTATTAGTAAGGTATCATCAAAAGCATCAAAAATGGTTTGCAACATCTGCAGATAAAGTTACAGTTACTTATTGTTTGTTTTTATTTTCTCTGACAACAATTTCTTCTTTTGCCTTGTTTGTTTTACCTTTCCCTGCAGTGTTGGGCATTTTCCTGTGGCCTCTGATTTCATCTCATGAGATTGGTTTGTGGCTAAAGCCAGTTCTGCAGAAGCTGGACTTTGGCCTCGGAGAGTTTATTCAGAAAATCAAAGAAAATCATGGTAATTATACATTTTTACAAAGTATGTCAATGTGTTTCGTCGAGAGAGTTTTTTTCCAAACCCACTGAAAATGTTAAACACTTGGCTTTTATAAAACAACAATGACACAGCAGATGGAAACCCCTTTTATTTACTGGATGGATTCGCAATATTAGCAATACACATATTGTGGAACCTACTGCTGCAGGTCTCCCTTGAAAAAGAGATCATTGATCTCAATGGGATTTTACCTGGATAAATAAAGGTTTTGAATTGAATTGAATTTAAATCTAATTGTTTTTATAATGCATGTAAAGTCACTTTATTGGCTCATGAGGATATACCAAAATCAAATCCTAAATACCTACACATATACATTAATGTACAGCTTATCCTTTACTTTTATATTCGATAGTAAAGCAGATATCTTAATAAATGGTGTCCAGGAATCTTAAATAAATTATTTGAATTATTGTTTTCTTACTTTCAGAGAAGAGAATCATTCAGGCTCAGACTGAGAAAGAGGGCATCGAGTCGGACCTCTCCTCCATGTTTCCCAAGGTTGGCTTATTATATTTTCTCAATCGAATGATGCCTCTGTTGACTGACAGGATCCAGTTAAAGTTCATTAAAACCCAGTACACATGATCTGCATCAGCATCAAGGCCTGTGCCAAAGTGACTGCCAAAATATCATCAGGCTACAGATTACATTCACTGAGTAAAGTCCATCAGAAGTCTCAACTAAAGAACCTTTCTATCAACATTTACTGAAAACATTGGATGTAATGCAGAGGGATGAGTCGCCACGCTAGCAGGACTTTGGTTGGGAATAGAAACATGGATTAAAGTCAGGTTTCTGTTACAAAAAAAAAGACTGGATTTGAATTTGACTGCTGTAATTCGGACTTAAGTGAGACTCAAGTTGACTTTCGGGAGTTTTCAGCATAATTGTGGAGATAGAGTTTGACCATAACTGAACAAACTAATTCTGGACACTATCCTGTATGTAGGCCCAATGTGTTAAACCCTTTATATACAGTCTATGGTCAAACCCAGAGTTGACAAAATGCTTCTTTACATAATTAACAAAGTTAAACCAAAGCTCTACTTCTTGGTTAAGTTCCATGACATGACCACTTCCTGTGCATTCTTTCTGTATCCTGTTGTTGTTGTAGCAATTATATATATAATATAGCAGACTGCTTTATATTTTGTTCCTCTTTCCCATCAGTAATGTTGCAACAAGATTAGATATAAAAGTGATAATTCCCTCTAGTTAGTGTCATAATTTAGGCCTCTTTCTATTCGTAATTAGTTCCTTATTCATGAGCACATTAACACAGTGATGTTTTTCTTTACACACCAGAAAATACTTTTTTTGTCAATAACTCCACACATAACCCTAACCCTCTCAGGTGTGAGTTTGATGATTTGAGTGTTTCCCTGCAGCTCGACTCCACAGTGTGTAAGGAAATGTCCGTATCGGACACAGAGGTGTCGGATATGACGTGGACGGACAACGGTACTTTCAACCTGTCAGAAGGACACACACCACAGACTGAGAACTCAGAGGGTACGTCACCTCTATACCCTATGTCCTATAGATGGATATGGTTAAGATTAAAAACAGAAACACAGAGGCACATCTGATTAAACAGCTGCAACAGAACTGAACCAATGTTGTCGTTTGATGGGTACTTAAACAGTAGATGTTGAGTTATCTTAATGATTCTTTCATAGGTATTTTTTTGTCAATCAAAAAGATCTATCGTACTTCCTATAAACATACTGTATATAAAATATATGAATACTACACTGACACATTCCAGTCTCTTGTTACTGTTGTTGTCCTTGTTACCATATGCATTTTCTGTAAAGAATAATGAGCTTACTGATCAAATATTAGATAGTGATCAAAGTAAAGGGACTTAGCTAATATGAAATGTCTCCTAGCCTAATGTGAATATATTGGCAAATGGTCGTCAAATTCTTCTTACTACGGAATAAGTTTTGACAAAAGGTAAAACAAATATTTAATTTTGCGATTAAAGTCAGAATTCTCTGAAAAAAGTCAGAATTATTAGATTTATGTCTGAATTCTGAAAAAAATCTCAATTAGGAGATTATAGTCTGAATTCTGAAGAACATTAGATTTAGAAGAGATCAATCAGATCTCAATACATTTTTCCACATGTGGCCCTAATCACCTTTCTTGTTTTACCATTATTTTTCAAACAATCATTTACTTTTTCACCTCACAGACCTCGACAGAGAAGAAGCGTTCACTATAGGCCTCCCAGAATTCCCCTCACTTGACAACGGCGCAACGACCAATGGCGACGACGATGACGATGACCTCAGCCTCGGCCTCCCCTCGCCTCCACCTCAGCTGCCGAACAAATCCAAGCAAACACCCTTTCCTCACAAAGACCAACCCACCGACAACGCCCTTGAAATAGTAAACCAGATGGCGAGCGACTTCATCACCGCCGCCGTCACAGCCGCCATGCAGGAGAGGATAGAAGCAGCGGTCGGCTTCACGGCGCTGAGCTCAGCCTCGGAGCGGTCCAGACTCCCAGAATGCATCGGGCCGCTGGAGCTGGACGAGGAGTCGGACAGCGACGTGGAGGACTTTGAGCTGCTGGACCAATCAGAGCTGGAGCAACTGGAAGGGGAGCTTGGGCTGGGAGATGAGAAGGTCAAAGCCAAAGAGGAGGAGAAGGCCCAGAGTGATCAGCCAGGTTCTACTGGATTCTTCTCCAAACTCCTGAGACGCCACTGATTGATGAAAATATGATGAACAGGGGAGGAGAACAGGTTACAGAGGACATGTGGCGGGGAGGCGGGGGTGGTGTGGTCACTGAGGACTGTTAGGGGTTGTGAGAATGTTTCCAAGTTTAATTTTCCTATAGAGCTAACATCAACATTTCAAAGCGGTTTAGTTTGTAAAAAATGGAGGTAACTTTAAACAGATTAATTTTAGTTTAGTGCCGAGATCAGACTACACAATATCAGCTAGAAAAAGACCCAATCCGACAGATGTGGGGACGATAATGGGTGTTTGACATCACCTACAAAGTGTGCGATCAAGTGTGAGCAGAAGGAAACACTTAAAAAACACAATCAAACTGGGGTGCTGTTGACTGTGCAATCTGCACACGTGCAACTGCATAGTTATCTATTTATTTATTTATCTTTTTAAACATTATTTTGGTGTCTTATTATATACCCCTAGAGTTTTTGTCCGATTTTCCCAGGAGCCAGCTCAGAGCGAATTTGATCAGCCTACTGGTTCATAATGCTAATAGTTCATGACCATTAGTAAATACAAAGATATAGTGTAGTCTGATCCCGGCATAGAAGTTAGTGGAGGTTTAATGAACTACTTTTGGATTTTTATCAAAGATTGTTGGTGGTTTAAGGTTAGGTTCCTACTTTCTGCCTCTAGTTAAGTCAGCTGATCAAACTACACTACCCAGAATTCCATAGACATACAATCAATCAATATCAAAACACCTTTAATGCTCAAGTTGAGGAGGATTAAAAACCAGGAAACATTTTATTGTGAAACTTTTTTTATTTTATATGTACGGTTTTTTCTTCATTTAAGAAAACTAGTCAAGCAACTTTTATTTTGTAAAATCCTACAGCAGGTATCAAAAGTCTTGGCTCACCAATGAAAAGTTCTCACATCATAGGATGATCCAAAATTAGACACATAAATGTAGTTTTAGTTCACTGAAAGTAAAATGTTTTGAGATGGATTATTTGTATTTGCACCTTAAGTATTATTTAATGATGCACCTACTGTACGTAGGGCACCTTGCTGTATTGAGCATCAAAAGACGAAAAACTGTTTCTTTAACATGCCTTGTACATTTAAATACATTGATTTCATAATGAAGACACACAGCAATGTATAATGTATCCTCTTGAATTATTCATGTAATGCCTTGTATTAGCATAATATGACTATAGACATGTTTGTTTCTCAGTGCCTAAGAGGACTTTGTAGTGGCTGCAGTTCATTTATAGCTCACATGTGATAGCTGTATACGAAAAAGAGATGTGCAACACTCTGAATAAGAGTTCAGGCAGGTTCACGCTTCATTATCTCAAATATCTTTTAAAATATTTGATAAACTGATCAAAATACTAGTGTTTTTAATTTATATTGTATCACAGTGGCTTTGATGCATTTAACTAAAAGTTCAAACATAGTTAAACTTTGTTCAAAAACATGTCAGAACCAAAATGCATTAACAAAATGTACTTTTATGTAATTAAACTCAAGAATGTCAATAAAATGTTGTAACTCAATCTGTGGCTTCATTTATTTAAAATCAGTGTGTGTGTGTGTACCTGTATTATGGATGTTTTGGGACCCATGAGTATGCAGTCACTTGCGGGGACTGGCCTTTTTTTGGGGGGCATAATTTTAATCTTTACAATGCAAATCATTGGCAGCATTACAATGCTATTTCTACTCATACTACTAGCACACAATAAAAAAAAAACTAAATATAACACCCAGGTGGGGTCTTATGTCACCTAATGGGCTAATTTTTGGTACTTCATTTAATGGTATTGTAATATTTCTTGAAAAAAATGATGAATGTAGACCTTAGAATATTAGTTTCCGTTTCTTCTTCAACCACTGTTTACCAGCCACATGGGGGTGCTGTATTTCAAGGTTTTAAATGAAAGTTGATCTTTCTCTGTTTCACAGCACCTGGCCTAAATTAGCTCACACATTTCAACTCACATATGACATCTCAGTCATCAGTGATCCTTTTCAAAATATTCATACCTTTGTCATTTGATAAACTGCTGCAGTTTTGAACACTAAACCAGCAGAATGAGTGAAAAATATACAACATTGTTCTCTCAATACTTCATCTGCTCCCTGGTCAGCATGGAGATTATCCCTCCATCTCCCCACCATTCGTCCGCCTGTATCCACAATCTCGTTATTCCGGTCATGAGGAAGAGATACTTTATTAATCCCCAAGGGGAAATTACTTATTTCATTCTGGTGTTATTTGTACGTTATACAAACATAGTTGATATGATCACATACATAAACAGGATCACATGCAGTAGTGGAGAGGTGGCAGAGGGAAGAGTTTTTTTTTTGGGAGGGGGGAGCAGGGTTTACTGAGGGCAGTTATCTAAAAGTGAAAGGAAAATACATTCGGGACATTAAGAGTGTCAATCATTTCAGTCCCAGAATAAGAGGTTGAATAAAATCCTATCACACATGAACGTGAAAGCCTAGAGGGGAAAGAAAAGGAAGTAAATAAATTAACATGATCAGTTGAATCACTATTAAGTTGTATCCTGAATCAGCCTGTCAATGTTTCTTTTGAAAACACTTTGACAAAGTTCAGGCTGCTGTAACAGTGTGGATCAGTCCCACATAACAGCTGCTGAAGGAGCTGGAGTCAAACTCTAAATCGTCAATAAAAGTAGCATCTAAAATTGCATTCATCTGGACTGTGTGTCAGTGTCTGAAAATAAATCCCATTTGTGCATTGACATTTCTGATATCAAATACAATGATGAGGTGCTCAGGATTGTGATGGAGGGGAAGACTGAAGCTGGGAAGAGCTCCACTTGAAACACCATTGTGGGAACGGGGGAAGTTTGTGTGAGTGTGTGTGAATGTTAGTCTCCCTGAGCACCTTGCATGGCAGCCTCTGGCTCTGTGTGAATGTGTGTGAATGTTGATATGTAAAGAGCATTGAGGGTTTATATCTAAAATATATCATCTGTTCAATAAAAACAAATCTGAACACATGAGGCTGTATTTCCCCTTGTTCTGTTTATTAAGAGAAGGATGTTATACTTTTAATCTAATACTCATCCCACTGTAGCTGAACTTCAGACTGTGATGTCAGCAGTGTGTGAGTGTGGTTTGCTGCATGCAGTCTGTATTTAAGGAGGTGTTGCTGCAGACTAACTTCACTTCCTCAGCTCAGCAGCAGACCAGCTCCTCCCTCCAGAACCAACTATGGCCAGCAAATTTGCCCAAAATGGTAAGTGAATAAACTTTATTGTTAATGATGATTTCAATGTATCTAAATACATATTTAAAGATTGGATATGTAGCTTGTCATATTTCCTAATAATGAACTTATCAAAGCAGTATTTGTAATCTGAACAATTACAAATACTACTGTTCCGGGACTTTAACAGTATTTTTATAGGTTGTTTTTTTTGTCAAAATGGAAACAGAATTAACATTGATTTATTTTATTTATAGTGTAGAGGGCTACTAGCACACATAACATTCCTGCAATGGTGGTAACTAAGTAGATTTACTCAAGTACTGTACATATTTTGAGGTAATTAAGTGTTTATTTAGCTTCTTTGTAATTCTGCTCCACTACAGTCCAGAGCTAAATGGGTCCACTACATTACATGTCACTTGTTAGACGCTTTTATCCAAAGCGACTTACATACTCAATACTGTGGGCAATCCCCACAGGAGCACTTTGGAGTGAAGTGTCTCAGGGACACAATGACATGCTGACTGCATTGGGGTTTGAACCTGAGCCACTGATCCGAACACCAACACACAACCCACTTCACCACACACCTCCTCACTACATAATACCTTTAGTTCCTCGTATTTACGCGAAAATAGAGAGAGAGAGAGAGAGAGAGAGAGAGAGGAGAGGAGGAGAGAGAGAGAGAGAGAGAGAGAGAGAGAGAGAGAGAGAGAGAGAGAGAGAGAGAGAGAGAGAGAGAGAGAGAGGGGAGAGAGAGATCTCCCCACCGACCACATTAGATGTGAAGTGAGATAAATGGCCGGTTCTGACCAAGTTGCTGCCCTAGGCAAGATTTTAGCTGGCTATCCTGAAAATCATACAGTAGAAAAGTTCAATAGAGTATCCGAGGAATACACAATTGAATATATAAAGAATATATGAAAAATCTCTACAAAAGACCACAACACTACAAAAACAGAAACATATTAACATTATTTACATAAAGAACAGCCTGTCCTCCTAAGAAAAACGACCAAATAGGTTGATTGTTCAGCAGCTAAATACGACCCATAGTCACGTTTTAAAGTGTAGCACCTCTAGTGGTTATGTAAGATACAACATGCTCCCGTTGATTGCAAATGCTCCGGAGGGTCATTTATTCACAAATAACCCTCTCTGGAAAATCCTAAATTGTGGAATGGTTTGGCCATTGATTAGATTTCTAGCGAAAAGTGTATATTGTACTTTTAGAATCTACGTCCAGTGGATGTGTAGGATCTATAGTTTGATAGATATTACGAAGATGATTTGAGGTCTCGCCAGGAGAACGTGTACTACTTCTTTACGCAGCGTCCATGTAAAGTTGGCGTCAACTCTCACGGGGTGAAAACAGTATTTCCGGTCTCGAAGTTTTCATAATAAAACCGAAAGTATATAATAATATTCCCCTCACTGTCAAATGATTACATAGTGATATCTGCATTACTCATCCACTAAAAAACATCAGTTTATCCTTGTTAATTACACAATATTGATTTGTTTAAATTGTGCATAATGCTTTTGTGTTTTTAATCTTCGATTCGGAGAAACAAATAGTTTTTTTGGAGTTTAGACACTACAGAGTTTCCTCAGCTATCGTTTGGGACTACAACTTCCGCTTTCCTTTACAAACCCCGTGATTAGTCATCAAGCTCTGGGTTTGGATGTTGGAGTGGCAGTGCGACAAGGTTACGCCGAGCGTCAAACAGCTCTTTGAAATGGAATGGAACCACAGCAGACTATCCAAAACTGGACTCGAACGGGACCAGCCCAGCTCCCCCCTCCCCCCAAGAACTACACATGCTGGCTATTGTGTTTCGCAACTTGTTCTATGGCACGTCTCTACTGGGAATTGTAGTTTTAAAAGACATTTTCGTATTTCCCATTATTAGAAGTTGCCAGTATTAAACTGTGCACACCCCTGGAGGTTTAGGGGATAAGAAACACATTGGTGTTATCAAATGTAAAACATATAATTACGTTGAGTACTTTGTCAGACTTAATATGTATCTGTTGATACTCCCAATGTTTTGTTCTTATTCAAAAGAAGACCTTAACTTAAAGTATTCTTTAATGTTTTAAATAAAGCCTTATTAGTTTGTTTGTTTTGCAAATCCTCCTATTAATATCTTTGGATGTTGTCCACTAGCTGTTTTATTGTAGAGTTCACTACATTATCTTCTTGATATTTTGTATTCTATATTTCTATCATTGACCTTCTACTTTCCCCTATTTTGTATGTAGGTTACTCTTAATATTTAAATGTTTTCATCAAATATAACATATTCAACATCAACATTCAATAACGTGCTTCAACCACTAGGGTTAAAAAAACAGTGGTCTAGTTAATAAAACATAATAATATCAAACAAAATATTACTATTAACTTTGTTGTGAAATTAAAACAGAACGGTAAAGAAAAATACAGTTTCAGTCTCTCGATTTGAAGCCATTGTACCATGAACCTGTATAGACCTGTAACAGTCGACTGCATGATGAGTTGGAAAGGTATTTTCTGAAGATGTTACAAATAACACACAGCAGACAATGCCATAATAACTTTGTATTATTAGTGTAGGACACTTATATATGTATAACATCTGAAGAGGTGTAGTTTTATTCATGTTTTCACATAATTGTACAGGATATTGCTATAATATTTTACATAATATTATAGCTGATAATATATATATATATAAATATATATATATATATGTGTGTATTATATATCATATATGATATATATATATAATGTAATATATCAGATATTAATGTGTATACACATTACTATCTGATTCTTAAAACATCACAGACAGAAAGGTATATCCATCATTTAATGGTAAGCTATTGAAATTGTGATTCCATAGAACTATTAACGAAGCACTTTTATACTAATAAAGGACTGGCTTACCTAAAGCCAGTTGAGTAGCACTTGAAATGTTTGGCTCTATGAAACCTGATGTACTTATATGATTCTGTTTTCTTCAAGGTTGTGTCTTCCTGGTCGAATGTACTTATTGTAAGTCGCTTTGGATAAAAGCGTCAGCTAAATGCAATGTAATGTAATGTGTCTCCCATCACCCAAAACCCCTGACTATTCTCTCAGCTCAGTATTTACATTCTTATATTCAAAGAAAATCAGTATTATCTTTAAAAACTACAATTCCCTTTCTATCAGCTGTGTACCTTTATGGTGTAAATATAGCCTATTTACCAATTGGATCAAATATAAAAGTCATCCGAATTAGTGTTGATACTGCAAGGAGACGTATTGTGTGAAGAGAAATTGAATATATTGTTTAATTGCTGATATATTTATGATCCACGTCACGTATTCAGTTTCGGCGACAGTTCTTTCAGTGTGTCCAAAGGTCTTCTCATCAGGGCTCTATAAATAAACCATAGCCAATAACAAATACAAGTAACATATTTTATTTTTGTTGTTCATTTATATCTTATTTGACCTAGTTAACATTTATTTATGCATTTGTTTTAAATCTCTCCAGCTTTAAATTATATTTTTGGTTGACTGTCCTATAATATACATTTGAATGATTTCAAACCTGTTTTATGTATCCTAATAATTATAAAAGTGTGCTTTTGAAATATTTGTTTACATAAATTGTGATCAAAACATTTGAGACCCACTGAAATAACTTAGACTAAAGTGAACTATCTAAACACTCAGAGTCCTTTACCTCACAGAGATTCTCAGTCCGACAGGAGAGGACTACTTGTTGTAGAAACATCTTCTTGTATCCATTAGCGCAGAGAGCACCACATGCTAACAACAACTCTCCCCGGTACCGGTGCTCTCTCTCTCTCTCGCTCGCTCAGACGCTCACGCACTTTCGCTGTGAGCTGCGGGCGTGTTGATTTGGGCATTATAACTGAAAGGCTTGTCTTAGGCTCGTCTGCCGGTTGTGTTAAAAATGTGTCAATTTTATTGATTTTACAAGCAAACACTGTTTGTTTACAATGTCTTCCCAATCGTCACACATATTATTTAAACCATCTTGAGCCCATCCCCCTCACTGTCAACATTGTTCATGTGGTAGTTGAACCATTTTATAAATACCTCGATTGCTAAATATTTCTTCTTTTTTTTTCAGCCCACCGATCAGAATCGAACATATACAATAACGAGGTACTCCGGATTGTGATGGTGGGGAAGACCGGAGCTGGGAAGAGTGCCACAGGAAACACCATTCTGGGAAAAGAGTCCTTTAAATCAGATTTCTCTTTTAAATCTTTGACTGTAAATTGTTCTAATGCCTTTGGTGAAGTTGATGGACAAAGAGTTAAGGTTATTGACACTCCTGGGTTGTTTGACACCAAGGTTGATGAAAAGAAAACCAGAAAATATGTTGGTAAGAGCGTTTCTTATGCTTCTCCTGGACCCCATGTCTTCCTGGTCATCATCAAACTGGTCAGATTCACAGATGAAGAAAAGCAGACAGTGCAGAAGATTCAAGAAATCTTTGGAAAAGATGCAGACAGATACAGCATGATTCTCTTTACCCACGGTGATGTGCTCAAAGGGAAACCTATCGAAGAGTTCTTGGAGAAAAGCGAAGAGCTGCGGGAACTGGTGGTCAGATGTAAAGGGCAGTACCACATCTTCAATAATGAGGGGGAGGATCGTTCTCAAGTCAGAGAGCTGCTCGACAAGATCAGAAATATAGCAGGGAAGAACGGAGGAAGCCATTACACCACTGAAATGTTCCAGAAGGCAGAGAGGGCCATAGAAGAGGAGAAACAGAGAATCCTTAAAGAGAGAGAAGAGGAAATACGCAAACAGGAAGAGGAAATGGAAAAGAGATTAGCTAAAAAGCATGAGGAACAATTTAAGAAAATCAAAGAGGATGGTGAGAGGTTAGCAAGGCAGATAGAAGCTCATGAAAGAGAAATGGAGGAGGAGAGGAGGAGAATAAGCGAAGAGGAGGAAAGCCTAAAAGCAGCTAGCAAAATAGAAATGAAGGAGGAGAATGAGAGAAGTGGAGGAAAGGCTGAGAGAAGCTCGCTCAAGAAAAATAGAGGAGGATAGGAGGAGAATAAGGGAAGAGGAGGAAAGGCTAAAAGCAGCTAGCAAAAGAGAAATGGAGGAGGAAAGGAGGCAAATAAGAGAAGAGGAGGAAAGGAAGGCCAGGAAAGGTGCTGAGGACAGCCCTTCAACACTTGGCAAAATGTGGTCCGCTGTGGAAAAAGGTGTGACTTCTGTGGTAGAAGGTGTGACCGCTGTGGCACAAGGTGTGATGTCTTTGGCTTTTTGGCGTCCATGATACAGTCTGACCCTCTGGAATACCTCCTTGTTAATCTTCACAGCCCCCTTTTTGATTTTGTTGTTTGATGTGATTTATAGTAATATCAGTTATTTCAGTGGTGAGTTACAATTACATACTAATAAGGTGACAGATTGTGAAGAACCAAGGTGTTAACATTCTAAACTATAGTAATGTACTGTACACTAATTTGTTCTTTGATTGCTTTTGCTTTTACAAGAAAGAAGAACAATATACATCATGAATTAATGCTTTTAAAATGTTATACGAATACGTTTTCTTTGGCTTTCCACAATAACTGAAGGTGTAATGTCAATGTTGGCTTTTGTAAAAATGAAAGGTTAAAATCTACATACAGTATGTAATACATTTTGTAATTCAATATGAAAAGGTTGGAACTCAAATGAATGTGTTAAGAGAAACATCTAGTGATCAATTAACGAAACGTTATGTAATTGTGACGGAGCGGATCACATGAGTGACTCACTCCGCCACTGACAGCCGACACACACACACACACAACACACCAAACATTTCGGAGAAAAGACGGAGCTGCATCACTTCCGTGTTTTAAATTCCTGCTATGAACCATGCAATTATTTATTATTTATTTTGTGTTTATTAATTATGGGGAATGACTGTTAAGAGGTAGTTAACCTGTGTATGTTTGGTGCAGATAGTTTCCTCATGTTTGAGGAAATTACATTTATGTTGAAATGTGGTTTGGAGTTTAATTGTTGTCACCTGTTGACGGTAAGCCTGGTGGGAGGGGCTATGGGTTAATAAGGGACGGGTTTGGCCCTGGAAGGGGACTCGGGGAATGTTGCAGAGAAGGCAACAGCTGGGACGTGTTCGAGAGATCGTTGCAGAGAAGGCAACAGCTGAACACGTTTACTCTCCGGGAATTATGGACGGTCTGATTTGGACGTTTTGTGCTGGTTCGCTATTTTTTTGTTGTTGCTGAAAATAAAGTTTTGGAGCTTACCCAACCGACTAGGCCAGTGTTTTCGGACGGACAATTTGAACCCCGTCACAGTAATCAAACTCAAGAATGTCAATAAAATGTTGTAACTCAATCTGTGGCTTCATTTATTTAAAATCAGTTGATATACCTGTATTAGGTATTTTGTGGGGCCCATGAGTATACAGTCACTTGCAGGGACTTGCCTTTTGTTCGGCGGCAACATTTAAATCTTTACAATATAAATCCTTGGCAGCATTACAATGATACTTTTACTACTAGCACACAATAACAAAAAAACAAAACATAATATTACACTCACAAAGGACCATTATGTCACATAATGGGCGTTTTTGGTACTGCTAGTACATTTAGCTGATAATGCTATTATTTTATTTTTATAATAAAAATGATAAATGTAGGTCTTACAGTATTATTTGCCCTTTCTTCTTGAACCACTGTTTACCAGCCACACGAGGGTGCTGTATCTCAAGATTTTAAATCAAAGTTGACCTTTCTCTGTTTCACAATATCTGAGCTAAACATTTATACAGTACCTTTAGCATTTAATAACTGCTGCAGTTTATGTCAATAATGGTGGACCCCAACGTTGCTGTATTTAAAGCTAGACCAATAGAATGATACAAAATTGGTACGACTGGTTTGTGATTTCAATGCTCTCCCTGGTCAGCGTAGAGATATAATCCCTCCACATGGTCTTGGCCTTCTCCCCTCGCTGTATGTGACTGAAACACCTCTCTAGGAAAGTGGTCACTTGGCATCTTTACCAGTTGCCAAAACCAACTAAACTTGCTCCTTTCTACATAAAGGAACAGCGGCTCTGAGTCCCTTCCGGATGACTGAATTTACATTATCACTAAGGGAGATGCCAGCCACCCTCCGGGGGAAACCAATTTTGTTAGCTTATATCCGCAATCTCATTATTTCGGTCATGAAGAAGACATACTTTATTAATCCCCAAGTAGAAATTACTTGTTATGTCTCTCACAGGCTCCGCCCTCTACTGGACTCTATGGGTGCTTCCCTTTGATCATATCATGCAAGCATTCATCCACTGAGACTTATAACCGTAGCCGGCCCAGATGCAGGCCTACCTGAATGCGTGCACCCTCTCGTATAAAAGGCCGCCTCACCCACCATTATCCTTTTCTCTTCAGCAAGCGGACCACTGAGCTAGAGTAAGAGAACCGACCCCGGAAGGCTCACGCCCCGGCATGCGCCCCGGCATACGCCCCGGCATGCGCCCCGGCTCCCTCGCAGGGGTGGGGTGCGCCGGCTCCCAGGAGCTGACTGGCGGCCGGAGGAGGCTACCCTTCGGTTATTCCCTATCCCCACGCACATTCAACAAATGTGTGGCCACAGCGCTCCAGCCATTGCGCAGCCGTGGCATGAGGGTTTTCTTTTACCTAGACGACTTCATAGTCATGGCCGGGTCCAGGGAACTGACCAAGTTAGGTTTCACGATCAATTGGAAGAAGAGCACCCCCATTCCCGGCCAGCAGGCATTGTATTTGGGAGTCACCTCCGGAGGGGGATCTGCGTCCAGAATAGGGTGGGGAGGGACCTGCCTGAGCAGAGCTATAGGTGGGCGCTGGTCCCTGACAGAAACACATCACAGCAACCAGGAGCGACAACAGTACCACAGTGGTGTATATCAACAGGCAGGGCGGAGTCCGCTCCATCGCGCTGTTGGCCACAGCAGAGAGACCGTGGGTGTGGGCATCAGAGGTGGTGTTATCTCTGAGAACCCTCCACATCCCGGGACTGAAAAACAGGGGAGCCGACCTCATGTCGAGGGGCGGTCCCCTGCCAGGCGAGTGGACGCTTCCCCCGGAGGTGGTGAAGCAGCTCTAGGCCCAGTTCGGGGAATCAGAAGTGGACCTGTTCGCTAGCCGGCGCAACAGCCACTGTGCCCTGTGGTTCTCCATGGCTCTGGATGACGACCCGCCCCTGAGGGTGGACGCGTTTGCACACGAGCCATGGCCAAAGAAGCTGCTCTACGCCTTTCCGCCGCTGCGTCTCATTCTCCCTCTCCTGGGGAGTGTGAGGCGAGAACGTCAGTCACTCATCCTAGTAGCACCGGACCGCGTCGGGGCACCGTGGTACTCAGAGATGACACAGATGAAGGTGGGCCAGCCCTGGGCGACCCCCCAGTACTGGGGGGCGATGTCCCAAGAGGCAGGTGCAATCGGGGCGTTACCCATTCTGGGCCAACCTCTCCAGGCTTGGCTCCTGAGTGGGACAGGCTAAGGCAGGGTGGATATTCAAACTATCCAGGCAGCTAGAGCGGGATCCACCACAGCCTGTTACAGGCCGAAGGTCTGAATGTGGGACGTGGGCACTTGTGCTCCTCCCGTGCTCCCTAGGGACTCGGGAGAGGTGGTGCACAGTGAGCCCATACAGTGCTGGGGATCTGCCTATGGCACGTGGGGGGGAAGCCCTCGCACTGTTGTTTTCCGAGCAAACTTTTCACGAGGTAAGCGCGCCAGAGTGTGCTATGTTGGCCGTGGCCCAGTCTCCACCACGGGCACATTACATTACATTTTACTTGTTAGACGCTTTTATCCAAAGCGACTTACATACTCAATACTGTGAGCAATTTGGGGTGAAGTGTCTTGCCCAGGGATACAACGACATGCTGACTGCAGTGGGGTTTGAACCTGTGACCCCCTGATCCCAACACCAAGGCTCTATCCACTGCGCCTCACGCCTCCACAACCGAGGTGGAGCAGGCTGCGGCTGCTGACCAGGATGCCGGTCCGGGACAGTGGAGTGGAACGATGTGATGTTGTCGGACGACAGCGCGTGTATACATCGGGGCTCTGCCATATAGTCCACTAGAGGGCAGAGCCTGTGAGAGACATAACTAACCCCTCATGCTATAATCATGTGTATTTTCTCCATTCCTGTTCATGTGTCTTCTCGCAATTATCACTGGCCCCGTGTATCTCCTAATCGATATAACCGGCCTGCTCTCGTCTATCCCACATGCTCCACTGAGATCCAACATCTAGTTTCAGGTGGCCTGTGGAACTGCCAGTCAGCTGTTCCTAAGGCTGACTTCATCTCTGGCTACGCCTCCCTGTAATCTCTGGATTTCCTTGCTCTCACTGAGACCTGGATTACTCCATCCAACACATCCACCCCAGCAGCTCTCTCCACTGCATATTCCTTCTCCCATACACCCAGACCAACTGGCAGAGGAGGTGGCACTGGTCTCCTGCTCTCTCCCAAATGGAGCTTTTCCCTCTTCAAGCTACCTAACTTCACTCCTTCCACCTTTGAATTCCATGCCGTCACAGTAACCCATCCTATACAGTTAACCATTGTTGTTCTCTACCGTCCACCAGGCGCCTTGGGGGACTTATTGGAGGAATTAGATAATCTCCTCTCACACATCCCTGAAACTGGCCCTCCCGCTGTACTTCTCGGAGACTTCAACCTCCAGACAGGGAAGATAGACGAACTAACATCCCTGTTAACCGCCTTTGCTTTCTCACTGTCTCCGTCCCCACCGACTCATAAAGCTGGCAATGTCCTTGATCTCATATTCTCAAGGAACTGCGCTACTTCTAACCTCTCTGTAAACCTGCTCCACACATCCGATCACTTCTTCATTTCATTCTCTCTACCCCTTTCGAAACATAACAAACTAATCTCTTCTCATCCTGCACTTGTCCGCCGTAACCTTTGTTCCCTCTCCCCCTCTACCTTTGCCTCATCGGTGCTCTCAGCCCTCCCTTCCTCTGACTCGTTCCAACTCCTGCCTTCAAACTCTGCTGCAGAAACTCTCCTCTCTACTCTCTCATCCACTCTGGACTCTCTCTGTCCTCTCACATCTCGGCAGGCTCGTCAGTCCCCTCCTGCTCCCTGGCTAAATGATGCACTGCGTGCTAATAGAACCGTCCTTAGGGCAGCAGAGCGGAAACGGTGGAAATCCAAACACCGTGACGACCTCCTAACCTATCAGGCTCTCCTCTCCTCTTTCTCTGCTTCGATCTCTCAGGCAAAAAGCACTTTCTTTCAAGATAAGATCCAATCTTCCTATTCCAATCCGAAAAAACTATTTTCCATCTTCTCCACCCTCTTGGACCCTCCAAAAGCCCCTCCCCCCTCCTCACTTCTGTCAAGCGACTTTATTACCCACTTTGAAAAAAAGGTTGATGATATTCGCTCTTCTTTTTCTGACTCCCCTTTACTCACCGCTGGGTCACCAGACCCTCCTTCCACCAACACACTAACCTCCTTTTCCCCTCTCTCTCCAAGTGAGGTTCTTACCCTCATTACCTCTGCCCGCCCTACCACCTACCCTCTGGACCCTATCCCTTCAAACCTCCTTCAGACTATCGCTCCTGATATTCTACCGTTTCTCACCCATTTCATCAACACTTCTCTAACTTCTGGTCACTTTCCAAACAGTCTCAAGGAGGCAAGAGTAAACCCTCTCCTAAAGAAACCTACTCTCAACCCGTCTGATGTTATAAACTACAGGCCTGTCTCTCTACTCCCGTTCCTGTCTAAAACACTTGAACGCGCTGTCTTTAACCTGTTAAGCCCGAAGGTCCCCGCCAGCGGGGACCCTGGATCTTTTTTCACGATACTGTGTCTCAGGGGATCTTAATATTTAAGAACCTATTAATGTGTTATACCAGATTAACGGAAATAATCTCAGCTAACTGACGATACAAACCATGTTTACCAAAACAAAACACAAGTCTCAAAAGAAGCATCTAAATTACCCCTGAGCGAAAAATGCTAATGGACATTGGCACAGAACTCAAGATAAAAGTACCCTTATTACTTATCATAGCTGCACATACAATATATCCGATTAAAGCTGAGACTCCATAGATTATGTAGGTATATAGTATCATCACTGAGTGATCCGGACAAGCAAATACAGTCATCACAACACGTACCTTTACGAAGCTTCTAGGGAGATCGTCTCACAAGTAGCTGTCAATCTGATCAAAGTACGTGTTCAATGGCATTAAAATGAGAAAAAACGCGGCTGAATCTGTTCATCCATAGGTTCTTAACGTCCATGTATAAAAAACTGATTGAATTTATAATCCATAATTCCATTTTTATGTAAAAATCGGAGAGTAAATGCTAGCTGCTAATGGTAGCCACCACAGCTAGCTGCTGCTTCCGGTCTCGGCGATGCAGCAGTCTCACACATACACATGACCAAATAAGGACTATGTGGGAGTTCCCCTCGATTCCATTGGCTCTGACTGTCAGAAAGAGATGTCACATGTCAAAATCGAGCAAGGGGGGCCAGAGATATGGAAAATCCACCCAAATGGCCCCAGAAGAGGTTTTTTTTTGCTAAATCTGTCTAAAAAGGTAAAATATCACTTGTTTTGCATCAATCTTGATACAGGGTACTTATTATATGTTGTACTTTGGATTCCTAAAGCTTTTAGTCTACTAACCCATCATCCAAGGTTAGTTTTCACTATAAGTACAACATATTTTTTGGACGGACACTATAATTTACAGTTTTTTACCATGTTCAATCTGAATTTTCTTTAAAATAAAAAACATCTATATTGAATCTGACTTTTCTACATCCAACTCACAGGTTTATCATTACTTTGAGAAAAAATATTATTAATTTAACCCTTTTAGAAGGGAAGATATGGTCATTTGTTCTGGGAATGTCATTTTCGAGCCTGAAACCTGAAAAACAGGCTCAGGGTTTAACAGGTTAACTGTATTGGTTATCAGATTTTCCTAAATAAAAACTTGCTTTTTGTGTATATATACCTGCCTTCCTCTTTTTACGGCATTTGCTCCACAACGGTTTCAATCGAAGGCTGTCTGCCGAGTTCCTATGCCCCTTTCCCGCTACTCTCCTATATTTCATGGTCATTCCCCCGCTGAATCCTTCCTAGCTGAATTATGCTGACAGCATTATCAGGGACATCTGGAATCCGACTATGTGTCTGTCATGATCATGTTTTTCACTTCGTCTTGTTTGCTTTTGAAAAGTGTTCCTGCGACTTTGGCTGCTTGGGAGTGCGGTCGTCTTTCAACCAGGATGTTGTGGGTTAGATCCCAGCCCGTGCCGTCAACATGTCGACGATTCCTCTGGTAAGATACTGAACCCTGAGTTGCTCCTGATTGTGAGTGTGTATGTGCGGTGAGTGTTAGCTTCCCTAGAGAAAGTAGTGCTGCTCTGCATTAATGGGGTGTGAATGGGTGAATAACTCACAGTATGAAAAGAGATTTGAGGGGTCCAGAAGAACTGATAAAGAGCTGTAAAAGTACAATCCATTTACCTCCGTCTGTTTTTTCTTTGTGTTTTCCCGCCTGTTTGTCTGATATATGTCTTCCCTTGTGTTCACTTTCAATACGTCGTCTCTGATCCCCTCTGGTTCCTGGTTTTATTTTCCTTGTGTGATTCCCTGTGTTCTGCCAATGCTCCTGCATAAGTTGGGTATCCTTCTGATTTAATGTGTTGTGATTTTAGATTATATTGTTTGGTTTGATGTAAATGTGATATCAGATGTTAGAGGGTCTGACAGGCACCCCTTGTGGTTTATTTGTATAACCATAACAGGTTATAGTTGGAACCTCAAAAGTTAAACAATAGTGTTTGTAACAAATGTAATGTTTTTTTCTGTTTTTCAGTCTGTTCGTCTCAACCTTCTACAAACTGCCACAACAAATACTCGGGCCACAATGATAAGGTACTCCGGATTGTGATGGTTGGGAAAACTGGAGCTGGGAAGAGCGCCACAGGAAACACCATTCTGGGAAAAGAGCACTTTAAATCAGAGTTTTCTTTTAAATCTCTGACTAAAGTCTGTGCTAAGGCTGCTGGTGAAGTGGATGGACAAAAGGTTGCTGTCATTGACACTCCAGGTCTGTTTGACACCAGCACTGATGAAGAGAAAAACAGAAACAATATTGGCCAGAGCGTTTCTTATGCTTCTCCTGGACCGCATGTCTTCCTGGTCGTCATCAGACTGGGCAGATTCACCGATGAGGAAAAACAGTCAGTGAAGAAGATTCAGGAAATCTTTGGAAAGAAAGCGAACAAATACAGCATGGTTCTCTTTACCCACGGTGATCTGCTCAAAGGGAAACCTATCGAAGAGTTCTTGAAGAAAAGTGTAGAGCTGCAGGAACTTGTGAACAGATGTCACGGGCAGTACCACGTCTTCAATAATGAGGAGAAGGATCGTTCTCAGGTCAGAGAGCTGCTCGACAAGATCAGAAACCTCACAGAGAAGAACGGAGGAAGCCATTACACCAATGAAATGTTCCAGATGGTAGAGAGGGCCATAGAAGAGGAAAAACAGAGAATCCTTAAAGAGAAAGAAGAGGAAATGCGCAAAGAGAAGGAGGAAATGGAGAAGGAAATATCGGAAAAGTATGAGCAACAAATGAAGGAAATGAAAGATGACAGAGAGAGGTCAAAAAAGCTACTTGAAACTCGTGAAAGAGAAATGGAGGAGGAGAGGAGGAGATTAAGAGAAGTGCAGGAAAAGAGGGCCAGGCATGAAGCTGAGAACAGCCATTTCATAATGAGGTTTATAAATGGCCTAATTAAAGCATTTAAACACATTACAGGATTGTGATAACAGCCGGTTTGCGTGAGACAGTCAGGCTTGATGCTGGACGGCAGCAGATTTATCAAACCTTTGACTGCCTGACTCCTTGTTAATCTTCACCGTCCCTCTTTTGAATTTCAATGTGTGATTTATAGTTTTCTCAGTTATACCAGGTGTGAGTTTTGACCACATACTAAACAGTGTCACAGAATGTCAAGAACAAAGATGTTAATAAGGTAAAGTGGTGTTATTAACCTGATTTCAACTGAACAATGTTTTTCAGGTGTTGTGTTTTCATTGTTTGATTGCTTTTGCTTTTGGGAAAAAGAAGAAAGAAGGTAGTAAGGTTTTGTATTTGAACTTCCTCCTCCCCGTAGGTTATGCAGATCTCTCTGAAATGTAGTAAGTAAAGCCGTAAGACATGGAGAAAGCTGGATAGTGAAAGTTGTGTGTCTGCGTTCAACGGCTTAAACAGATAGTACTTTTTTAGGGCTACGGGTTGCATTTAGACGCACAAAACGTGGCACATGCACTTAGTTAACTGATATGGTTATATTTCGTCAGTTAGGCAAGGTGGCTCGATAGCTCCCTACACAACTTTAACAAAGCTCTTGCTCTATATTTCACCTGTAGATGTACAATATCTAACAGGTATTAACCGGTATATTAACTTAATTTCAGTACCTTTTTAATTCCATAACGATGGCAGCCATATTAGACATTTTCCATGAAACAGGAAGTTGTGGTAACTTCATTGTACAGTCTCCAAACTACCAATGTTGAGTGCTTGATAAGTCATAGATCCACCTAAAGGCAACAGGAAGTCAGCCTCATGTGACAAACATCATGAAATAACAATGTGTGGTCTACAAGTGATGTTTAGTGACATTCTGTTTGTTAATAGTGTTTCTCTAGCACCACATAGTGGACATATAAAGTGGTGCAAGGTGTGCAATGTCTAACTTCCAGCAAATCACACTCCATGCAACATGTGTGATATTAATACTCTTTTGTTTACCATGGAACATGAATCTGGGTTTTGTGGTTTAATGGGTCATTTATCTCAGTGATGTAAGAAGCGTGTGGAGTGCATGAGTGTCTTCCAGGTAATCACTGTGACTGCACCAGACAATGATAATTATGTACAGATTGTGAATAATGTGTTGCTCAGTGATCATGAAATAAAGCTGATCATAAATGAGCAGAGATGGGGTCGTTACTAAAAAAAAGTAATATATTACACTACTTCGTTACTCTCTACATAAAGTAACTCGTTACTTTGCCGGCCCGCCCCTACCTACAGGCAGATCACGCAGACTGCGGCGCACCTACAGTGTAAGCACGCCACAGTGTACGTTTTGCCTCTCTCGAGACTCCACTTGCACCACAACAAGCTAACAGTCTGTGAAACGTCAAGACACTAATTAATGAAACCAGTTCAAGACGCATTATTCTTATCATTCTTTTTGAGCGCAGTAACGGTAAGGTATCTAATTACTTATTTATTTAGTATTCCATAACTTAGTAACAGAGATGGTCAAACTAAAGTAGAGACATGGCAGAATTCCTACAATGAAGCGGGGCATTGAACTGTTCACCCGTGAGAGGGCGATCAACAAAAGAGAGCGAGCGGCCCGTTGAGGGAGTTTACAGATGAAAAGACTCAGCCATGTTTATGCAGCACTGCACGTGGAGATGTGGTCTCGCAAGTCGCGCAGATTACATAGGCCTACATGTATATAAATCAAGCGGCAAACTGTGGGGTAGAGCCAAGCCCACAGGAAGTGCGCCGGACTCAGATGAAAATATTCGTGCTGGCCAAACGGCGGTACTATACTTCCGTTTGGTTGCCAGACCCGGAAACACTTTTTCCCATTGACTTACATGGGGAAATAGTGGTCTGTAACTCGTTGGATAATTTTTTTTAAACTAAATAAACTACCCAGTATGAACACTTGTATATCCCTTATTAAAAACATTCGTTCCTCAAGTTGTAAAAATGTGCTAATAACGTTATTCTGAGAGTTATTTCCCTCTGCATTATGAACGCGCATCTAACCCACGGGACCGCGCCACCCGGCACGTTCATGTTACGTGTCCCGACCAATCAGAGCACACTGTGCTCACAGGGAGGGTGGGGGCTGGAGCTATTGGAGCTACAACGAGCCGTTAAAGGCAGAGAGTGAAATTCAGTGAATACACGTAGTTTACAGAGATGCTGTATGAGAAACCAATGTGAGTTGCGTTTATCTTTACCAATGGATGCACAATAAGAACGGATCCATATCGTCTTACTGCCATCCCACGGAGCTGTAATAATGGATATATTGCACATGTTTGCTGCAATTCATTATCATACTACATGGGCTGTATGATTAAATCTTGTACCGTAAATGTTGTATTAAATAAAGTTAATATTACCGACATTATTAACGTCCCTGTAGCTTCGTATTGCACTAAGAAGCTTATTGCACTGTATATAAATATATATATATACAGTGCAATAATAATTTCATGCTAAATGAAGCTCTGTTGGATATCACTAGATCCTGTTACAGCGTAATATAAGTACATAACGATTGATGTGTACATTAGCATCATTACTAGCTAAGCCGCTAGCTGCTAACTGCCGCCTCGTTCATATCAAATCCATGATAACAACAAGCCATTACCATGCTGTCATGAACGCGCGGTGCTGTTACGTGTACGCAAATTGACGTGCTTGATGTGAACGAGCATTTTGGTTAAAGTTGCACATGCTCTATGAGTGCACATACGGGTACTTCTCAGAAATGCTGGGTAATCTGTGACGTTTCACTCTCTCAAAAGTTGGGCCATTTTATCATCATGCGCTAATGAGCAGCTCTCATAGGAATGAATGAGGCCCCGCCTCCCACGCTGTATCCAGTTCTTATTATACATCCATGGGTATAGCCGGGAAGCCAATACGGAAGTGCCACACACTGCAGTTCATATATTGGCCGATAGGCGATGGCTGCAGAAAGGAGCAATTTCCATAGACCCCCATGTTAAAATGCCCAACTTTACAGCAGAAAAAAACATGTTTCTACCCCTGGCTCCTACATTTTATTATCGATATAGTTAGATTCCACCTTCATGATTATGGATCTGTGAGTGAATTGTTTTCTAACGCGACCCTTTTATTTATATTAGGTCTTAACGTTTTTGCATAAATTAGGGCGTGGTCACATTGAGTGACGGCTCTGTCAAGTGCCTGCCGCTGTTAGCTTCTTGTCTCTCTGCTAGCTGCTCCGTAAAGTTACAGGGACTCTGCCTGCTCAGCTCATCCAGGAAACACAACTTGTAGCCGGCCGTGGTTGTTTGTTCTTCATGCTTATATATCGGACTATTGTGACTCGCTCTGCGGTTAAAACAGACGGTGCATGAATGTGGTTTTGCGGTAAGTGAAATTCTAGTGCTGTATTTATGTGTTAATGATTTTAATCAGCTACGTAATGAATGGTAAGGCTTGGGTTAGCATGTAAGCTAGTGGTAGCTACATCGGTGCTAACGATTGTAATCGTAGCCTCCAAGTTAAAATCATAGACTGTATATATAAAGGTTAAAACTAAATAGACAAGTGTTAAGTGGGATAATACTGTTGAACAAACGGCTTCTGTTTGAGGTTGATAAAATAAGGTTACATCCTTGTAACTTAGAGATATTTTATTATGTAGGTAGCACTGTATGCATCTAAGGTTAATGTAAATTGGCTATGCTCAAGTATGTAGACAAGCTAATGTCGAAGTAGTGTATGTGAAATCAACCTCACAATAAGATGTGTGTATATTACAATTATTAATGTCATATTTCAAGATGATTAGTTAGATATCACAATATGGTTGGTTGAGCTGGAGTTCATTATTGAGCTTACACGTTAACGTCACAGTCATCTGAAGAACGAACCCAAACCTTGTTGTTTTTATTAATTGCATTACCAAATGGGTATCAAATAAACAGTAAGCATTGGTAACACAACTTCCAAAGTTACAGTAAAATAAAAAGGCCCCTGACTCGGACCATACACAATCCAACATGTTCAACAGAAGATAATCAGTTATATTGTTTGTACACATAGTACTTTTCATATATATCTGTTTGTTTAAGGTGTCCAGGTGATGCAGACAGGCTGGACCAGAGAGTGAGACAGAACTGGACTCCTCACAGCAGTGAACTTCAGCACAGGTACAAAGACTCTTTTTTCATACTGTACAAAGAATCAAGAAAGATATTGGTTTAAATGAATGAAGTATTGACTTTAATACACTGATATATATTCCATTAAACAATACTAAATACTAGATCACCTACACATCAGTGAAGTTGAGGGTTTTTTCCATGCAAAAAGTTACATTTAGATGATAACAAGCAATATGACTTTGTCAGCTTTCTAATGTAATGTATTGAAGGCAAATATATTTAACACATAGTGAGAACTGCTACTATTTATTACATTTTTACATTACATGTTACTTGTTAGACGCTTTTATGCAAAGCGACTTACATACTCAATACTGTGCAATCCCCACAGGAGCAATTTGGGGTGAAGTGTCTCAGGGACACAACGACATGCTGACTGCAGTGGGGTTTGAACCTGTGCTCCCCTGATCCGAACACCAACGCTCAACCCACTGCACCACACGCCTATTTATCTCTCAATATTGTCTGTAAAAAACGTGGTAAAAGTGATTCTTTCAGTGAGACAACAGAGCAAGCTTCTACAGTTGCACTACGTTTTGATAACAGTTAAATATTATTTTGATAATAACATATATTTCAATGTTGATGAACTTCATAC